AAGCAGCTTAAAAGGGGAGAGCAAACAGGCAAACAGAAGGAACATGGAATTATACCTACAATTGGGGGCATATAATTCTCTTAATAATATTCGAGTGTTGTTATATCGCGATAAAGAGGAAGAAAGAATATGAGATAATAGCATCAATGCCGCACAGCGAATGCTAAACTTGACCGCAATTCTGATCTGAAGTAAGAAGAGAAATTACAAGTCATACCTACTAGATCTCAAGTTCCTCATGAAACAATGAAAGGAACATGAGTATTCCGACGCGAATAAAAAATAACAGAGAATGAAAAAAACCTCCCTTTAACTAATATCATCTTGTGCGTAATATTTTCTTCCTATTCTCAATTTTGGATGAATTCATTTGACCCAATTCAAGAAAGGTATAAATCCAATTAAATTTTATTTTATGATACATGTGACCATAGACTATTGAAACAGACCTACCTTATTACTAAAATGTCTCATTAGGTTGCAATAGCTTTGTCAAGACCATTTCCCCCTTCGCCTGTATTGTTACTTCCACCCTCACCACCATTTACATTCCCGATATTTGTTTTAGGTCGTCTCCGCCGCTTTCCTTCACCATAATACAACCGATATTCGCAAAACATGCAAATCCAATCTCCACTTTTTTCTGGAAATCTAATCTTGCGCCGAGGAATATTACTATTATTGATTGGCTGAATATCCACTGAGCCGGAAGTCGACGATGTGTCATCCTGCTGCTGTTGGTGATGCTGATGGTGTTGTTGGTGATGATGCTGATGCTGATGCTGTTGGTGTTGATGTTGATGCTGATGTGCCGGGTGCGAATTCTGTGTGTTTTGATTATTGTTCCCTGATGTCTGGGCCTTTTTTTTGTTCTTTTTACGCGCAGCATTTGGTAACCTTTTTGGTGTTGCAGGAGGAGGTGGTGGTAGGGGTGGTAAAAGTGCTTTGGATCTTATGGCTACTTGAGGACGTATATGGTTATGATTGGTTGCTATATCATCATTTTTAAATGCTACAGAAGATGGAGCTGCACGTTTCGTCGATGCTTTCTTTTTCGAAGCACTAGATGTGGGAACGGTTGTCACAGTTGGTGTTTGTTGTAAGAATAATGATGATGAGAATGGATCGTTCTTAGCGTTCATTGTTTGAATCGGTGATACAGCTGCCAATCTTTTTGCACTAGCAGCATTTACACTTGCAGCTAATGCAGCAGATTTCTCAGGAATTGATTTAAATGAAAAATCAAATGTCGTTTGCGGAGGACGCATGCTGTTTGTTTCTTTATTGAATACCTTGTCAAATTGAGACACCGTATCACCACTTGACGATACCTTGTTCATTATGCTGTTGCTACGCTGTGTTAAGCGCCTTTCCACTCTCCTAAGTGGATTTGTTCGTTCCTTTGCGGTTGAGGTTTTGATTACTCCTCCAACACCGCTACTCGTCGTTGAACTTCCTCCCACAGTTTGCAAAGCTTTTCTTTTCTTTTTATTATTCGCATTGTCCAACCAATCGCAATGGTTATTATCGTTACCACCGTCTTCCTCTTCGGCATCAAAATCTTCTTCTTCTTCTGAATTCGTAGGTGTCGTAAAAGAGAATAAAGGAGACGGTGGAATCATTTGCAAAGGTTGAACCGACGGTGTGTTTACAATAATTTCATTTTTTCCGTTGAATCTAACGCTACTGTTAATTTCACTACTAACCAAACTATTGTTATTACTATTATTACTACCATTAGGATTTCCATTTTGCGAGAGCCTAGATTTGGCTCTTGATGGTAATTTCCGAATCGGTCGGAAAAAAGGAAATGTGTTGGTAGCATTGTGAGCAAATCCTCTTGATGGCGAAGTTTGCAATGTCGAAGTACTTATATTATTAGTGTTATTGACATTAATTGTAATTCCTTTTGATGTTGAAGGTATTGTTGATGTTAAGGTTGTGCTTGATATGCTAATGTCTCCAAACTTCATTGGTAATTTTTTAACGGGTGTCGACGAAACCATCAAAGACGTTGAAATATTTCCACTATTACTATTATTATTATTATTATTGCTATTGTCTATTGCTTTTGTGGGTGTTTTTGCAGTCACATACAAAGTTGTCGTTCTACTTGCACCAACATTAGAATGCACTCCTTTCTTCACTGTGGAAGTAGGTGGTGAAACCGGTAACGTCTTTACTGGTGGACTTAATGGTGGGGTTGTTGTAAAAGGTGGTGTGGATGGGCGAACCAATGGTGGCGGTGGTAGATTCGATGATTGAGGCCCAGATACTGCTGCCTTAGAATTCATATCGAACTTGAAAGAGCCCGTAAACTGTGGGAATAATAAATTAGAATTCGAAAATTGGGTATCGGTCGGAGATGTAGTATTTATCGACGGAGGCCATATCGAACTGGACGGCATTGTTATGGGTGTTTTCGATGAGAGCTGAGGGGAAAACTTGTCGAGTACTGGAGGGTGCCATTGAGAAGTCACGCGTCTTTGATCTTTGGGATTCGGTGAATTTGCTGGTGCATTGGGAGAAGAAATGGATGGACTTTGAAAAGGATTTTGTAACGATAACTCAGAGGAATTTCCAAAAGGGAATGAGGGAGATGATGTGGTTGTATTTGAAAAGTTCGGTAGAAAGAAATTTTTGTCCGCAATGTTGGGGAATGTAAATTTTGATGGGAATGGGGAATCTGTCGTGCCAGACGAGATTAACAAATTGTTTTTTTTTATACTACTTTTACTCGTTTCAGAAGACTCACCATTTTTTTCATGGTTAACCGTGAATTTAGATGACGAATTTTCACCCTTTCCGTTTGTGATCACGGGTGTTGGTTCCAATTCTTCAAGTAAATCCTGACTGGGCTTATTTGCTAACATTTCTCTTAAAACATCTTCGGCAATGGCAGCTGGTATCGTGTATTCAGCTTCATCAGCTAGAGTTGATTTTATTTCTTTTGACGTCTTTTTACGGACTAATTCGTTTTTCCCGGTATTTATCGACGCCTCTTCCACACATGTATTAAAATTCTCTTCACAATTTTTAGACATTTCGTTATTAGTCTCCTTAACAATGTTCTTTACAGTTGTAGCTTGTACAACAGATGCTGTGGGTATGCAATCGGAAGACGAAGAGTCACGAACTGACAAACTTGCAAGCGAACTTGCAAGTGAGTTGTTCGTATAATCTATCGTGGAGGTGGTTAGTCGTATCGTGTAGTTGTCACTCTTCTCCGTGAGATCCATGTGACCATTTCCATCTGAAGTGAAGGTCTTTACTTTTTCATTTGGAATTTCACCGGGATCGGTGTCGTTGAATAGAGAGTTTGGACCATTTCCTTTTATTTGTGAGTCTTTCGTGGAGAGCGGTAAGAAACCATTATCATGGTGAGCCTGGGACTCCGATGCAACAACAGTAATTGTTGCTTCAGTAACCACTGAGTTTTCCACAGTAGAAGAATCTTGTGAACCTTCGTCATTTTGTTCGTCCACAAACTTGTCCTGTGCTTGTCCCATGATGATTTCCTTATGCGCCCCTGATGAGGCGTTGATTGAAGACAATTTGACGGTTTTAAAAAAAGTTGGTGGGAAAATGGTGATTCGCACAAAAACGCAAAGTCAGTCAAATAAATAACCGAGAATGTGTTCGAAATAGGTTGAGGTTTGGGATAAATTTATGTTTAGCTCGTAATTGTTTATAAGAGTATGGCGCTAGAACGAGTCAATGAAAAGACCAACCTTATATTACAGGAGAATTTGGATATACGTATATTTCGACTATTAATTATTCTAGGTGTCACACGGCTTTATACAGAAACGTCATAAATTTTTAAAAGTGCCTTGATATTTAAGATACGTATGTGGTGGGTGTGTGCATACGTATGAAATGAAAAACTGACCCCTGTACCTTACGAAGATATCACGTAAAGAGCTTAGATTAGAGCACCAGTTAAATGGTAACACGAGATATAAGGAAAATCGTTATATATTAGCCATAATTCTGTCTATGATATTTCCAAATTCGAGAATTTATAATTTCTCGTATTAAGTATATGTTTCAATCATGCTTTATTTATGTATATTATATTTATAAAAAATATTTTCAGTTTAAAAAATCTTAATAATAAATTTATTAAAAAAATTTTTAGTAAATAAATAAATATATATTTTTTCTTTCAATCAAGTTGAAATGTATATGTTAATGAAATTGATATAATTATTTGATACAATTTATTAAAAATATTGTATATATTATAATTTAGAATTTTAAAATTAAGTTGCAATATATAAATTAAAATTATTTGTTAAATAAAATTAATATACATAATATTTTTATTAAGTAATTCTTAACTTATTATAAATACATATAAGAAATATAATTTTTTTAATATATATATATATATTTTTTTTTTTACTCCAAATCAGATTGCAAGTCTAGGTGTTTATTAATATAAGTCTTAATTGACAAAAATACATTAATACAATATAGGATGATATTATACTAGAGCTAAACTATGCAAACTTGCAGAACACCCATCAATAGCCAATGGCCTCTAAGTGTGATTTGGAGAAATGAAAAAGTTGCTCAATTTTGGAAGACACTCCTTGTCTTCCTCAATTTTATAGCCAGCCTTTATTCCAAGACTGTCATCCCTACACAACCGTTATAGTTCTATAGAGATAAAAAATTTTTTATTTTTTTATAGAAGTAAAAGGGGGAAAGGAAAGTGTTAAAAGTAAAAAGTTTGTATTGGCAAATAAAAACTCCTTGAAGTCAATCTCGAGTCCAACTATCTACAACTGGGTACTCATTCAATTTCCACCATTTTGTTACTAACCAAGAACATTTAAGAGCACTTCCAGGAGAGTAATTCTTGAAACTTTATGCTTGAAGACTTCTAACCTTGGTATATTGTTTGGCGATTTCTTTTCCAGCCAGTTCTTTAAGGAATTATGGCTTTATTCAACTGGTGGATAGTTTCAAGACCCCTTTCTCCAACCATTTTCGGGATAATTAGCAACAAAAGAAGCTTATTACTGTACCTGGAATAAGACCTTTCTTCAATCTTAAGAAGAAACAAAACCAATACAAGAGGGGAGAGGGAAAACTTCAAACTTCTTCTTTGCAAAGCGGACACCTCATCACCTTGCTCTTTCTGATAGAACCAATCACATCATCGAATTTAGTGTTGTGCAAGATAGAACACGTGGGAGTTACGTGTCTTGTTTACATTTCTTGTTACGTGTAGATCAACCAGTTCTAAATTCGAGCCCATCACCATTCAAGGATTCTGGTGTAACCAAAAATTCAGTGTCAAACTGAAGTAGGCAAAATTCCCCAGAAAAACCAGAAAAAAGTTTACACGCTTGAAAAGATAGGAGGAAGCTTGAGAAAAATGAGAAAAGAGTTCCAAAAACTGTGCCAGTCTTTTCTA